GCAATTATTTTCATGTGTTGCTTAGTGTGACATGTTAAACAAAAAGTAAATGGAAACAGAAGATACCAGCAATTCTTTTGCTTAATATTTCTTGACTCTAACAATAGTAATTTTATTTTTTCTGTTACTTTAAAATAAAAAAATCGTTGATAATTTGTTTTAATTAAATTTGCACATTGCAAATAGGAAAATAACTTAAGCCAACTATCTATTTGCTCAATAATACATTTTTATTATTAAAACGCCCCATTTGGTGTACATAATATATAGAGTACGAGTAAGTCCAATAATTTAAGTTAACACAGTCAAAGTCCAACACTATATTAATAAAATCCAAAAAGTTTACGGTTACAACAAAATACCGGGAAAAAATCACCTAACCTTAAATCGTCTTAAATCATAACAAACCGCTAGGTTCGAATCGTCGCAATCGATAGAATTGACAAGAAGTGCCCTATACCTAGACGCTTGCCTACAAATGAGTTAAGATGATTTAAGCTTGGGTGATTTTGTTTATTGCTTGATGATAATTACTTTAGAATTTGTCGAGATAAACAACGGCGAGTCCGCCTATCATTTTTTTTCATTCTCTCGTGACTTTTGAACCATAAGCCTTGTTCTATGTTTCGAACCCTATATAACCTCTAGATAAACATGACAAACAAATAGTATCGTACAGAAATTTATAGGTAAATTTTATACGCTCATGGCTAGTAATTTATAATTTTTTAAGAGGGATTGTTTGAATTTGTTGGAACAAAAATAATAGCATTGTCTTTATATTAGCACAAAGAAAGACAGTGATAATTATGAGTATTTTTTAATTTGTAATAAATTATTAATAATTTACAAATTATTTATTCTGATCAGCTTCAATAGGTATCAGATTTTGTCCTAGTATTGAAATGAACAACTTAAGCCATTCAATAAATCTCTTAAAAAGTTTGACTTATTGAATATCCTTACATTTACATGGCTAGTTTTCAAATTAGTAAATACATTCCATAGATTTATTTATCGGTAAAACTTATAATAAACACCACTTGTAGTATAGTAGCACCCTGTATAATATATTATCATTGGTAATTAAGTAAGTTAATTGCATGTCTGTATAAACAGTGCAACCAAGCAATATATTTAGGACGATTGACCCGGGGCTTGGGTAGGTGAATGTAGAACAATAGTAGTTGAGACATAAAAGATGGACATAAAGTACGTGCATTGGCTAGCAGTTTAAACTCTTAGATCCATAGATGAAGGCAAGAGGTGGATAGCCCTTGTCAATAAAAACAATAATTTCTCAAACTGTGACTTACTTTGAATTTCCTTTCACGCATTTGCGGATATGCGATTAGTTCAGGGGAAATGCAACAGTAACATGGCAGAAGCTGAAAGAACTCACGCCACCAAAGTGCGAGGAGAGTGGTTCCATGAAGACAGTGGACGACAATCGATGTTCGGGTTCCAGACACAGAGGAACAAGTATTGGGCATAATCGAATCAGGGCCTCCCAGGGGCACTCAGAGCACAATAACTGACACTTTCTAAAGCACCAAATAAATACCGAGGAAGCGCTACGTTCCTACCACATTTGTACGATACACACAGCACAAGAAGATACAAATGGAGCAGGAGTTAATTAACTGAATACGATAAGCTGCTTGATAAGAGTGGATAATAAGGAGATTACACAGGCACTACCTTGTTTGCAGTTAACCATTCAAATGTTTGGTGGTGTATGGATTATTTATGTAAACACTAAACCCCGCAAAATTCGAGGTTATGAGAACAGGTTGACATGTGGAAAGTACGTTCCGCAGTCAACGAATCTTGTTGAATTTACCGTTTATCCTTGTCTATCTTATTATCACTCTGTATAATTCCATGGTTAACGAAATAATTACGAAGCAACAGGTATTTGCGCAATGATAATCAAGCAGATTACCTTGAAAAACATTGCTGCCGTATTTCTGATATAGCTTTTAGGAAATTTCTCAGTTTTTAATAACACTTAATTTCTTTTACTATTTTTTCTGTACTCCTATAACAGCGCCAGACAACACCTCCAGAGGAATGACGCCAATTTTGAATCGCCCTGTATAATACTTTATATGTCGATCACTACCTCTATCACTTTTAAGTATTATGTAAATACGAATATAAATTATTTTTTATAATTATAATTGGTAGAAGATAAATACCGTTGTGACTAAAAAGAAATACATACTCACGTACCGCCAGTAAGACAAATCCGATATATTTGAACATTCCAAACCATTTTATGAAAATATCTATAATACGTGATAATAATTATATAAAGGCCATCATATAAAAAATTATTATCCGAATCGAAATTATGATATGAAATAATCAACAGCAGCAACATTGCAAGTATACTATACTATAGTTCCAGTGGCAACGTGGCATTAAAAATTTGTTTGCGGCTAACTTCACGCCTTCGCACGATTGCTTCATTTACGCGATGTTCTGTGTGCCGGCCATTTTTGTTTGTGTTTGGTGAAGGTTAGAAGCATAGATTGGACAGTTTTGCTTTCCCGCCAAAATGATTTTGCTAAATGCAACCACTGAGCGGCGTCGTCCAAACATCCAGAGGATCAGCTGATTGTTCGTATGCGTTTGTTTTGTACATATGTCCATAAGAGGACTCTGAACATACAGTATTTTACAGTTAAGATTATTCCGTCAATTTTCAATCTCAGTCTATCAATGTTTTTAATTTGCAATCACAAGTATTTTCAACTAGTTTGATAACTGTGATATTTATCTTTGTTTTACAATAATGGAGCATAACGTGGCTCGGAGAATGAGAAGTGTTGTGTTCGGAATTCTGTGATCTCTAGATAACTGTGAAGTATATTTGAGTTTTACAACAACTGAATATAAGGTAGCCAGATACCAGCCGCTTCCAGTGTTGTGT